ATTATTTTATATTATTATTATTATTATTGCATTCATAAAGCACAACTATATTATTTTATTATTTATTTATGTGTGCATATGTGTGTGTATAACCATATTATTATATTGCTCCATTATTATTATTCTGTTTTATTATTATTATTATTATTATTATTTGCAAGAAGCAGCTCCATCCTCAGGAATGATTATTTTATATTATTATTATTATTATTATTATTATTATTATTTATATGTGCATATGTGTGTATATAACCATATTATTATATTGCTCCGTTATTATTATTCTGTTGTTGTTGTATTATTATTATTATTTGCAAGAAGCAGCTCCATCCTCAGGAATGATTATTTTATATTATTATTGTATTATTGTTATTATTATTATTGCATTCATAAAGCACAACTATATTATTTTATTATTTATTTATATGTGCATATGAGTGTGTGTTACCATATTATTACATTGCTCCATTATTATTATTATTCTGTTTATTTATTTATTTATTTATTAACTTCTTTTGTATACCGCCTATATCAGCCAAGGCGACTCTAAGCGGTTTACAGTGAAAACAACATTTAACAATGCAAGTGACAAACAACACAAACAAAACACATAACGTCATCGGCCTCAATAAAATCAGATCCAATCTCGTAGTCCATTAGCCATTCCTTGTTCAGAGTGCCATTCTTGTGAGTCTGATGTTAGTTGCCTGCTCATCCGAACGCCTGCTCGAAGAGCCACGTCTTCACCCGCTTCCTGAACGCCAAAAGCGACGGGGCCTGTCTGATCTCCATTGGTAGGGCATTCCATAGCCGTTCCATAGCTGTTGTATTATTACTATTATTATTGCATTCATAAAGCACAACTATATTATTTTATTTTTATTTATATGTGCGTGTGTGTGTGTGTGTTACCATATTATTATATTGTTACATTATTATTATTCTGTTGTATTATTATTTGCAAGAAGCAGCCCCATCTTCAGGAATGATTATTTTATATTATTATTATTATTATTATTATTATTATTATTATTATTATTGCATTCATAAAGCACACCTATATTATTTTATTATTTATTTGTATGTGCATATGTGTGTGTATAACCATATTATTATATTGCTCCATTATTATTATTCTGTTGTTGTATTATTATTATTATTATTATTATTATTTGTAAGAAGCAGCTCCATTCTCAGGAATAATTATTTTATATTATTATTATTATTATTATTATTATTATTATTTATCTCAGTTCTTGTGGGTTTTTTCGGGCTATATGGCCATGTTCTAGAGGCATTTCTCCTGACGTTTCGCCTGCATCTATGGCAAGCATCCTCAGAGGTTAGGTCTGCTGGAGCTGGGATAAATAATAATTATTATTATTTATATGTGCATATGTGTGTGTATAACCATATTATTATATTGTTACATTATTATTATTTTGTTGTTGTATTATTATTTGCAAGAAGCAGCCCCATCCTCAGGAATGATTATTTTATATTATTATTATTATTATTGCTTTCATAAAGCACACCTATATTATCTTATTTTTTATTTATAGGTGCATATGTGTGTGTGTTACCATATTATTATATTGCTCCATTATTATTATTATTCTGTTGTTGTATTATTATTATTATTACTATTACTATTATTTGCAAGAACCAGGCCCATCCTCAGGAATGATTATTTTATATTATTATTATTATTATTATTATTATTATTATTATTATTATTGCATTCATAAAGCACAACTATATTATTTTATTTTTATTTATATGTGCATAATATGTGTGTGTGTTACCAGATTATTATATTGCTCCATTATTATTATTCTGTTGTATTATTATTATTATATTATTATTATTATGTGCAAGAAGCAGCTCGATCCTCAGGAATGATTATTTTATATTATTATTGTATTATTGTTATTATTATTATTTGCAAGAAGCAGCTCCATCCTCATGAATGATTATTTTATATTATTATTATTATTATTGCATTCATAAAGCACAACTATATTATCTTATTTATTTATATGTGCATATGTGTGTGTATAACCATATTATTATATTGCTCCATTATTATTATTCTGTTGTATTATTATTATTATTATTATTATTATTATTATTATTATTATTATGTGCAAGAAGCAGCCCCATCCTCAGGAATGATTATTTTATATTATTATTATTATTATTATTATTATTATTATTATTATTATTATTATTATTATTATTATTGCATTCATAAAGCACAACATTATTATTATACTGTTGTATTATTATTATTTGCAAGAAGCAGCCCCATCCTCAGGAATGATTATTTTATATTATTATTATTATTATTATTATTATTATTATTATTATTATTGCATTCATAAAGCACAACTATATTATCTTATTTTTATTTATATGTGCATGTGTGTGTGTGTGTTACCATATTATATTGTTACATTATTATTATTCTGTTGATGTGTTATTATTTGCAAGAACCAGGCCCATCCTCAGGAATGATTATTTTATATTATTATTATTATTATTATTATTATTATTATTATTATTATTGCATTCATAAAGCACAACTATATTATTTTATTTTTATTTATATGTGCATATGTGTGTTTGTGTTACCATATTATTATATTGTTACATTATTATTATTGTGTTGTTGTTGTATTATTATTTGCAAGAAGCAGCCCCATCCTCAGGAATAATTATTTTATATTATTATTATTATTATTATTATTATTATTATTATTATTATTATTATTATTGCATTCATAAAGCACAACTATATTATCTTATTTTTTTATTTATATGTGCATATGTGTGTGTGTGTTACCATATTATTATATTGTTACATTATTATTATTATTATTATTTTGTTGTTGTATTATTATTTGCAAGAAGCAGCCCCATCCTCAGGAATTATTATTATTATTATTATTATTATTATTATTATTATTATTATTATTATTATTATATTATCTCTTTGGCATGTGTTGCATATAATAGTTGACGCTTTCAAGGCAAATGTGGCAACTTGGGACCTGCATATAAAACAACATTATTGTTACTGTTATTGTTATTATTATTATTAAAGAAGCAGTCTCAAAACTATTATTATTTACAAAGAGCAACCCCATCCTTGGGAATTATCATTGCATTATATTATTATTATTAGTAGTAGTAGTAGTAGTAGTAGTACTAGTAGTAACAGTTTTTTGCAAGAAGTAGCCTCATCCTTGGGAATGATTATTTTATAGTAGTAGTAGTAGTAGTAGTAGTATTAATAGTTTTTGCAAAGAACAGCCCCATCCTTGGGAATTATTATTGTATATTATTATTATTATTATTATTATTATTATTATTATTATTATTGTTGTTATTATTATTATTATTATTATTATTATTATTAGTAATAATAGTTTTTTGCAAGAAGCAGCCTCGTCTTTGGGAATTTTTATTATTTTATATTATTATTATTAGTAGTAGTAGTAGTATTAATAGTTTTTGCAAAGAACAGCCCCATCCTTGGGAATTATTATTGTATATTATTATTATTATTAGTAGTAGTAGTAGTAGTAGTATACTGTCCCCCATGTTGTTTAATATCTACATGAAGCCGCTGGGTGAGATCATCCGGAGTTTCGGGGTGCGGTGTCATCTGTACGCGGATGATGTCCAACTCTGTCACTCCTTCCCACCTGCTACTAAGGAGGCTGTCGAGGTCCTGAACCGGTGCCTGGCCGCTGTAATGGTCTGGATGAGGGCGAACAAACTGAAATTAAATCCAGACAAGACAGAGGTACTCCTGGTCAGTCGCAAGGCCGAACAGGGTATAGGGTTACAGCCTGTGCTGGACGGGGTCGCACTCCCCTTGAAGGCGCAGGTTCGCAGCTTGGGTGTGACCCTGGATTCATCTTTGAGCCTGGATCCCCAGGTTTCAGCGGTGACCAGGGGAGCATTTGCACAGCTTAGGCTGGTGCGCCAGCTGCGCCCGTACCTTGGGAAGTCTGATCTGGCCACGGTGGTACATGCGCTGGTCACATCCCGCCTTGACTACTGCAACGCTCTCTACGTGGGGCTGCCCTTGAAGACGGCCCGGAAGCTTCAGCTAGTCCAGCGCGCGGCAGCCATGTTACTAACAGGAGCGGGACGCAGGGAGCACACAACGCCCTTGTTGTTCCAGCTCCACTGGCTGCCGATCTGCTACCGGGCCCAATTTAAGGTGCTGGTGTTATCCTACAAAGCCCTAAACGGTTCCGGCCCAAAATACCTTTCGGACCGCATCTCGGCCTATGAGCCCACGAGGGCCTTGAGATCGTCTGGGGAGGCCCTTCTCTCGATCCCGCCTGCCTCACAGGCACGTCTGGCGGGGACGAGAGAGAGGGCCTTCTCAGTGGTGGCCCCCCGGCTGTGGAACACCCTCCCTGTTGACATCCGACAGGCGCCCTCCCTTATGGCTTTCCGTAAGAGCCTAAAGACCTGGCTCTTCGAGAGGGCATTTAACTAAGTGCCAGGCTAACTGATAATGACAATCGGAACGGAATATGGATTATGAGACTGGTAGGTTCCTATGTTGTGACGGTGCGGATTAGTTAGTATAATTTAGATTAATGTGTAATTATGGCTTGTTGATGTACTGTGTGTTTTTGTAAACTGTTTTTATATGTTGTACACCGCCGCGAGTCGCCCTAGGGCTGAGAGCGGCGGTCAACAAATGCATTAAATAAATAAATAAATAAATAGTAGTAGTAGTAATAGTTTTTTGCAAGAAGCAGCCTCATCCATGGGAATGTTTATTATTTTATATTATTATTATTATTATTATTATTATTATTATTATTATTATTATTATTATTATTATTCAAACCTATAGACCTAAACTGCACCTTGAAATCCTTCAATAAAATGTCAAGGTTCAAACGGGCTGGCTACGCTTTGCAGAAGAGATTTATTTATTTAGTGCTTTCTGTTGGCTTGCTTTTGCAGAATTGATCTTCCCAGGAATTTTGCATTCACAATGGTTACAGGAGCCGCCTTGATGCTCCTCCTGACGTTCGCAAGCAAGGTACGGATCCAGCTCTGGTTTTGTCTCTTTCTGCAAAACGTAAATTAATGAAGATTTACTCCCATGAAAACAAAATAAAAAGACATGCATTTTGTATGCACTATAAACCATGGATTATAATAATGGGAAGCAAAAAAGAAGAAGACTTTATTTAATTAGTTCATTATATTATATTATGGAGTATATATATATATTATGGAATCATGGGAGCAGTAGTTTTGCAAGGTCTTGAGCCTTCCCCAATGGACAGTAAGTAAGGGACCTTTGGCTTTTTGCATTGAGCCCTTTTGGATGCAGGGAGGAGAAGCAATGGGACATTGTTATTGTTTGTATTGTCGAAGGCTTTCATGGCCGGAATCACTGGGTTGTTGCAGGTTTTTTCGGGCTATATGGCCATGGCCTAGAGGCATTCTCTCCTGACGTTTCGCCTGCATGTATGGCAAGCATCCTCAGAGGTAGTGAGGTTGGAACTGTTGGAACTAGGAATAAAGGTTTATATATCTGTGGAATGACCAGAGTGGGGCAAAGGACTCTTGTCTGCTGGTGCTAGGTGTGAATGTTTCCACTGACCACCTTGATTAGCATTTGATGGCCTGGCAGTGCCTGGGGCAATCTTTTGTTGAGAGGTGATTAGATGTCCCTGATTGTTTCCTCTCTGTTGTTGTGCTGTTGTAATTTTAGAGTTTTTTTTAAATCCTGGTAGCCAGATTTTGTTCATTTTCATGGTTTCCTCCTTTCTGTTGGAACTGTCCACCTGCTTCTTGTGGATTTCAGTGGCTTCTCTGTGTAGCCTGACGTGGTGGTTGTGAGAGTGGTGCAACATTTCTGTGTTCTCAAATAATAACATGCTGTGTCCAGGTTGGCTTCCAACAGTAAAAGCATAGAATCGTAGCGTAGGAAGGGACCCCAAAGTGGTCATCCAGTCCATCCTTCTTCTGCCATGACAAGCCCTCCTGACAGATGGCCATCCAGCCAATGTGTGTTGCTTACTCATCCCATTTTTCCCCTCTTCAGGTGCCACGTTCTCCTGCCAACCCGCTCGAATGCCAAGAGAACGAATACCTGGACCGTGCGACAGGGAAATGCAGCCCTTGCAAGCAGTGCGGGCCCGGGATGGAGCTCTCGCAGGTGAGCTGCGGAAATGGAAGGAAGGAAGGAAGGAGAGCGTGCACACCTGGAAGGAGCCACTCGTTGCTATTCATTAGGGAAGAGAAATAGGAGCTGCTGGCGGGGCCTTTGCCTTGCCAGGAAAAGCAGATTGTCACCTTTTCCCATTGCAATATGCAACATGATGATGGGGGGCTGCATCCTGCAAATAGTAGTAGTAGTAGTAGTAGTAGTAGTAGTAGTAGTACACTATAACATGAGGCTGCCTCTTGCAAAATTATAACAGTAGTAGTAGTAGTAGTAGTAGTAGTAATGCACCATGTAACATTATTTTGAGGCTGCTTCTTGCAAAATGATAATAATAATAATAATAATAATAATAATAATAATAATAATAATAATGTTTGAGGATGGGCTGCTTCCTACAAATATAGTAGTAGAGTAATAGTACACTATAACATGAGGCTGCTTCTTGCAAAATAATAACAATAGTAGTAGTAGTAGTAATGCACTATGTAACATTATTTTGAGGCTGCTTCTTGCAAAATGATAATAATAATAATAATAATAATAATAATAATAATAATAATAATAATGTTTGAGGATGGGCTGCTTCCTACAAATAATAGTAAAAATACACTATGTATCATGATTTTAGGAGCCCCTTGGTGGTGCAGTAGGTTAAACCACCAAGCTGCTGAACTTACTGACCAAAGGGTCACAGGTTCGAATGCGGGGAGCCCAGTGAGCTCCTACTGTCAGCCCCAGCTCCTGCCAACCTAGTAGTTCGAAAACATGCAAGTGTGAGTAGATCAATAGGTACCACTCCAGTGGGAAAGTAACGGTGCTCCATGCAGTCATGCCAGTGGGCACATGGTCTTGGAGGTGTCTAGGGACAACGCCGGCTCTTTGGCTTAGAAGTGGAGATGAGCACCAGAGTGGGACACGACTAGACTTAACATCAAGGGGGAACCTTTGCCTTAACATGATTTTTGGAGCTGCATCTTGCAAATAACAACAACAACAACAATAACAATACGCTGTGTAATATGATTTTGGGGGCTTCTTCTTGCAAGTACTAATAATGATTAATCATCATCATCACCATCATTCTGGAGGATGGGGCTGCTTCCTGCAAATGATTGTATATATATATATATAATAATAATAAAAACATAATCATGCCTGAGGATGGGGCTGCTTCCTGCAAATAATGATAATGATACACTATGCAACATGATTTTGGGGGCTGCTTCTTGCAAAGGATAATAAATACATATAAATAAATAAATAAATATAATAAAAATCAATCATGCCCTAGGATGGGGCTGCTTCCTGCAAATAATGATAATAATACACAATGCAACATGATTTTTGGGGATGCTTCTTGCAAAATAATAACAGTAAGAACAAATGTGCGTGTGCCTGTCTTGCAGGAGTGCGGCTTTGGCGAAGGCATCAATGCGCAGTGCGTCCCTTGCCAGCCGCGGCGGTTCAAGGAGGGCTGGGCCCACCAGCGATGCAAACCATGCGCTTCTTGCAGCCTCATCAACCGCTTGCAGAGGGCCAATTGCACCGCCACCTCCAATGCAGCATGCGCAGAATGCTTCCCGGGGTCAGTGCTAAAAAGTCAAGACTTCTCTGCATGTTGGAAATAGCAACCTTCTTCAAGCCTCCATTAGTTATTTGCGTTGTATAGAATTCAGATTGCTTACTGTCTTTAATATGTGTGTGTTGGTCTGCAGTTTTCCTTAACTCTATGTTGTGGGAGGGGCTGCAGAACATGTGATTTGTTTTGGCAGCGATACTGCTGTTGGCCTTAAGCTTTGCATCTATTTTCTATTATATTATATTACTATCCGTCCCCTGCCACACATTGCTGTGGTCCACATGGGGGTTCTGTGTGGGAGGTTTGGCCCAATTCTATCGTTGGTGGGGTTCAGAATGCTCTGTGATTGTAGGTGAACTATAAATCCCAGCAACTACACTCCCAAATGTCAAGATTCTATTTCTCCAAACTCCACCAGTGTTCAGATTTGGGCATAAGGAGTATTCTTGTAGAGTTTGGTCCAGATCCATCATTGTTTGAGTCCACATTGATCTCTGGATGTAGGTGAACTACAACTCCCAAACTCAAGGTCAATGCCCATCAAACCCTTCCAGTGTGTTCTGTTGGTCATGGAAGTCCTGTATGCCATGTTTGGTTCAATTCCATCATTGGTGGAGTTCAGAATGCTCTTTGATTGTAGGTGAACTATAAATCCCAGCAACTACAACTCCCAAATGTCAAGGTCTATTTCCCCCAAACTCCATCTGTGTTCATATTTGGGCATATGGAATATTCGTGACAAGTTTGGTCCAGATCCATCATTGTGTAAGTCCACAGTGCTCTCTGGATGTAGGTGAACTACAATTCCCAAACTCAAGGTCAATGCCCACTAAACCCTTCCAGTGTGTTCTGTGGGTCATGGGAGTCCTGTGTGCCAAGTTTGGTTCAATTCCATGGTTGGTGGGTTCAGAATGCTCTTTGATTGTAGCTTAACGATAAATCCCAGCAACAATAATTCCCAAATGACAAAATCAATTTTTTGAGTGGAGGACATGCATTGGGTTGTTAGGTGTCTTGTGTCCGAATTTGGTGTCAATTCATCCAGTGGTTTTTGAGTTCTGTTAATCCCACAAATGAACATTACATTTTTATTTATAGAGATATTATATTATATTATATTAGCCATCTCATGCCACACGTTGCTGTAGTCCATTCTGTGTATATGTGTTTTGTGTTTGTATATCTTTCTGTATATATTTGTGTATACGTGCATATGTGTGTTTGCATATGTGTATGTGGTTTTGCACATGGATTGTAATGTAATTTTTGGTTTTTTGGCTTTTAAAGTCCCTTCTGTTGTGTTTTTCAGCGTTTTTATGAGTGATGGTCACTCGTTGGCCTGAGAGGTGTCTTGTGTCCAATTTTGGTGCCAATTCGTCTAGTGTATTGTCGAAGGCTTTCATGGTCGGAATCACTGGGTTGTTGTAGGTTTTTTCAGGCTGTATGGCCATGGTCTAGAGGCACTCTCTCCTGACGTTTCGCCTGCATGTGTGGCAAGCATCCTCAGAGGTAGTGAGGTCTTTTTCATCTAGTGGTTTTTGAGTTATGTTAATCCCACAAACAAACATTACATTTTTATTTATATAGATTATATTTGTATGTATGGCTGGAGTTACACTTACAAAATGTCCCTGTTCCAACCTCCAAAGCAGTTGGATACACTGAAACCTATAAAATGCAACTCAAAGCAATTCATTTGAAACAGTTTCCAATACACACAAAACCTAATTAGAAACAAGCACAACAAGAAGGAGCTACAATGTCGCAATGTGGAAGATGCGTTCTGCAATTGTTACCTAAGTACCATCCATATATATATATATATATATATAAAAAATATTTATTTATTTGATCAGTCATATGACCATTTCAAAATAGAGCACAAGTAAAAAACAAGGCAACAAGGTGAAGACAGCAACCGACCTTCTATTTATAGTCAGAATCTGATTTTCCTGGTTCTTCTTTCAGGAAATCTGCTCTTTTCTTAATAGCTTTCAGAATAAAAAGGCTTACTCTGATTATGCCCTTTCCTGCCCTTGCAAGAGGGATAATACAATATGGATGGGTTCCTTAGTAAACGGGTTAAACACCAATAATCCCCTTATAAAGATAACAGAATGAATAAGTCCAACAGATAGGTAAATTGTGAAACAAGGACTGTTCAATTCACAGTGGTCACAAAATTGAACAATATACAAAAAGTTCTGTATAGTCTTTTAGTGATGTCGTTGTATGTTCATCAATCAGCCTCCCACGACCGGTTTCGGCCTTTGCTTTAGGCCTTCTTCGGGTGGTAAAGTTCAGTCTTTTACATATGTTCTCATAAGAGATACTTAAATATTTTTTGCAATGGGATAAGATACTCTGCTTCTAAGTTTGATTCTAATTGCGAGTATGATACAGAACTTTACCACCCGAAGAAGGCCTAAAGCAAAGGCCGAAACTGGTCGTGGGAGGCTGATTGATGAACATACAACGACATCACTAAAAGACTATACAGAACTTTTTGTATATTGTTCAATTTTGTGACCACTGTGAATTGAACAGTCCTTGTTTCACAATTTACCTATCTGTTGGACTTATTCATTCTGTTATCTTTATAAGGGGATTATTGGTGTTTAACCCGCTTGCAAGAGGGATGCCAGAAGATCATTTCTGTTGGGGGACCTGCAGTTGGATCATATTGGATGTCAATATCTGTCTCGTAGTTCGGTGTATGCTGGACAGCCAATTAAGAAATCTCTCAGTTCTTGTGGGTTTTTTCGGGCTATATGGCCATGTTCTAGAGGCATTTCTCCTGACGTTTCGCCTGCATCTATGGCAAGCATCCTCAGAGGTGAGGTCTGCTGGAACTGGGAAAAAAGGGGTTTATATATCTGTGGAATGACCAGGGTGAGACAAAGGGCTTTTGTAAGTTGGGCTAGGTGTGGATCTTTCAACTGCCCACCTTGATTAGCATACAATGGGCTGACTGTGCCTGGGGCAAACTCTTCTTGAAGGGTGATTAGATGTCCCTGCCTGTTTTTCTCTCTGCTGTTTTTGCTGTTGCAATTTTAGAGTTTTTTAATATTAGTAGCCAGATTCTGTCCATCCTCATGGCCTCTTCCCCTCTGTTGAAACTGTGGACAAGTCTACATAGGGACCACCAAACGCAGCGCCCAAACAAGAATCCAGGAACATGAAAGGCACTGCAGGCTACTCCAACCAGAGAAATCAGCCATAGCAGAGCACCTGATGAACCAACCTGGGCACAGCATTTTATTTGGACCACTCTCGCAACCACCATGTCAGGCTACACAGAGAAGCCATTGGGGTCCACAGGCGTGTGGACAGTTTCAGCAGAGGGGAAGAGGCCATGAGGATACAAGGTGGTCAGTGGAAAGATCCACACCTAGCCCAACTTACAAAAGCCCTTTGTCTCACCCTGGTCATTCCACAGATATATAAACCCCTTTTTTCCCAGCTCCAGCAGACCTCACTTCTGAGGATGCTTGCCATAGATGCAGGCGAAACGTCAGGAGAAATGCCTCTAGAACATGGCCATATAGCCCGAAAAAACCCACAAGAACTGAGTGATTCCGGCCATGAAAGCCTTTGACAATACAATTAAGAAATGTTCCATGTCTTCCACTGATTGTTCTCCCCAGACGCAGCATCTCTCCCTTCTTGGGATGTTACAGTAGCACCCGGTTTGCACCATAGTACCGAGTTGTTCAAACCTAGCCCTAGTATATATTCTTCTCAAGGGTAGAGGAAGTGGAATAGTTAGGTAGTGCTCTCAATGAATATTCCTTTTGTGGGAAGCTAGAAACCTTGTGGCTGAAGACCTACCTATGCTCTCTAGGTCCAGCTGTGCATAGACATCCCGAATGCGCTGCTTGAGCCCTTGCCCTGACCCCGGACCCAGAACACCCAGAAATTGCAAAGGCAGACCGAATCCAGCCAGCTCATTATTCAGAGCCACCATCCACGATGACTTCTGGTCATGCTGGACTTGATCCTCTAGACCAGTGGTTCTCAACCTTCCTAATGCCGCGACCCCTTAATACAGTTCCTCATGTTGTGGTGACCCCCAACCATAACCCTAGCACGCCAACGACTTAAATCTAGACATAGTTTTCTAAGATCTACAGAGACACTCGCTGGAACACCTCAGCAAGCGAGAGTCCAAAAGTGGCAGGCTCAAACCCAGCACCTCAACCAATGGCTGATACCAAATGAGAGACTCCCTCCTGGGCACACAGAAGAAGACTGGGAGACATGGAAGGTGCTGAACAGACTGCGCTCTGGCACCACGAGATGCAGAGCCAACCTCAAGAAATGGGGCCACAAAGTGGAATCCTTGACATGCGAGTGTGGAGAGGAGCCAACCACTGACCACCTGCTGCAATGCACCCTGAGCCCTGCCACATGCACAATGGAGGACCTTCTTGCAGCAACACCGGAAGCACTCCAAGTGGCCAGAGACTGGTCAAAGGACATTTAACCAGCTACCAAACTCACAAGTTGTGTATTTTTCTGTTTGTTTGCTTTGTTCTGTTAGAAATGTAATATAATGGACTGGTTGCTCTGACACGACAAATAAAATAACCCTAACATTATGAATCGCCATGTAAATAATGATCTGCAGGATGTATTTTCATTCACTGGAGCAAATTTGGCACAAATACCTGGTATGCCCAAATTTGAATACTGGTGGGGTTGGTGGGAGGATTGATTTTGTCATTTGGGAGTTGTAGTTGCTGGGATTTATAGTTAACATGTAAACAAAGAGGATTCTGAACCCCACCAACAATGGAATTGAACCAAAGTTAGCACAGAGGTCTCCCATGATCAACAGAAAATACTGGAAGGGTTTGGTGGGCATTGACCTTGAGTTTGGGAGTTGTAGTTTGCCTACATTCAGAGAGCACTGTGGGCTCAAACAATGATGGATCTGGACCAAACTTGGCACGAATATTCCATATGCCCAAATGTGAACACAGATGAGGTTTGGGGAAAATAGAATTTGACATTTGGGAGTTGTAGTTGCTGGGATTTATAGTTCACCTACAATCAAGGAGCCTTCTGAACCCCACCAATGATAGAATTGGGCCAAACTTCCCACACAGAACCCACATGACCAACAGAAAATACTGTGTTTTCTGATAGTCTTTGGCGACCCCTCTGACACCCCTTTGCGACCCCCCCAGGGGTCCCGACCCCCAGGTTGAGAAACACTGCTCTAGACATAGGCGAGGAAATCTACTGGGATCCATAGAGTTTACTTTTGACCAGTAATTAAACTCCCTCATTAAGATTTGAGTTTTTACTGGGAGTATTCCTAGCTCAGCCCTAACTGCCGCCGTCAGCGTTGTTCTGGAAAGGCCCAGGAAGGTGCGAAGCTGCTTCACTTGGAAGGCTTCGATCTTGGCCAAATTGATGTGCCCCCAAATTTCAGCCCCAAATATAAGTGCTGCCATTATTTTTGTTTTAAAGACTTCCAGGGCAGGTATATATCTTGCCTCATTTTCTTTCTTCCTTCCAGTTTCTACAGCAAGATCCAGATTGGAGGCACCCGTGGCGTGGAGTGCGTCCCTTGCACCAAGCAGACGCCTCCCTCCGAAGTGCAGTGTACGTATGCGCACAGGCGGGCTCTGCTCCGAACTCCATTGATGGCCTTTTAAACTGCGGCCACCATATAGTGTAATGGTTGGAGTCACAGCTCTGGAGACTGAAGTTCGGGTCCTTGCTCAGCCGCTTGGGCAAGTCACGCTCTCTCGGCCTCAGAGGAAGGCCATGAACCAAGCATCCCTCCAAGTCTCGCTCTCTCTTTGCCCGCTCACAGTCTTGATCCCAGCATGTTAATAGTAAAGACGAGTTCAAGATTCCGCAATACCATAAATCCATGTTTGCCAGATATTTATTATTATTTATTTATTGGCATTGTTTCTACCCCGCTCATATCAGCCCGGAGGCGACTCAGAGCGGCCAACACAGTCGGCACAATTTGATGCCATAAAACTACATACACTGATAAACAAAAGAACATTATAGTGCAATCAAACATAAAGACAGTGCATAATAACAATTTTATAACTAAAAAACTATATCCTCTCATTCAAGTCCTCGTCCGTTCCATCGTCTTGGGCCATTCCTAGGTCATTTTCCAATTCAGTTTGTCTATTATTCGGAGGTTCCAAAAAAGAGTTTTTACTCTTTTCCAAAAGGTCAGGAGGGAGGGGGCTGATCTAATATCCCTAGGCAGGGAGTTCCACAGCTGAGGGGCCACCACTGAGAAGGCACTGTCCCTCGTGCCTGCCAGACGTGCTTGGGAAGCAGATAGCTAGATGGATAGGTAGGTAGGTAGGTAGAGAAAAAGGTAGATAAACAAACAGACAGACAGATAGCTAGATATAAAGGTAGGTAGGTAGACGAATACATCGCTAGAGATACAGGTAGGTAAGTAGAAATAAGGAGGGATAGAGATACACAGATATATAGACAGAAAAAGTAGATAGATATAGATAAAGGTAGATAGATTGACATATGGATAGGTAGATATAGATAAAAAGATTGATAAACACAAAGGTAGGTAAGTAGATAGATAGATAGATAGATAGATAGATAGATAGATAGATAGAGAAGGTAAAGATAAGATAAATAGGTAAATATAAGATAGGTAGATAGATAAGTAGGTAGAGATAAAGGCAGGTAAATAGAAAGATGGATAGATAGATAGATAGATAGATAGATAGATAGGGTAGATAGGTAGATAGATAAGTAGATAGAGATAAAGGTAGGTAAATAGAAAGATGGGTAGGTAGGTAGGTAGAGATAAAGGTAGATAGGTAGGTAGGTAGATAGAAAGATATAAAGATATCTATCTTTATATCTATCTACCGATCTGTCTATGTACTCAGTGACAGTGTCTTCTGTTCTCAGGCCACGCCATGGTCAGCCAAGTGCAAGAGAATGGTCACTCGCCCTCTGCCCAGGACTCAGCCCTCCTGGCCTTGACCGGCATCGCCCTGGCCATCACCCTGCTGGTCATCCTGGCCGCCTCCCTCCTGTGTGGCCGGCGCTTCTGGAAGAGGCAGTGCCAGCGCGGTGAGTGAGTCCTCCTCCCTTTGGGTCTCCCACTTCAGGGAATGAATCATCCTTGCATGCTTTGGCTTCCTTTGTGCAGTTTTGCCTTCTTCCCCTTCTTGTACTTCTCCTCTTTTGTCTTCTTCTTGTTCTTCACTTCCTTCTTATCCTACTCCTTCTCTTCTTCCTCTTCTCCCTTCCTTCTTCTCCTCATTCTTTGTATTCTTCTCTTTCTCCTCTTCCACCTCCTTCTTTGTCTTCCTCCTCTTTCTTCCTCCTCTTTCTTCTCTCCTCCTCCTCCTACTTTTCCTTTTCTTGTTCTTCTCTTCCTTCTTCTTGTTCTCCTCTTTGTCTTCTTCCTCTTCTTCCTTTCTTTCCTCCTTCTCCTCGTTCTTTCTATTCTTCCCCTTCCTCATCTTCTCCTTTCTTTTCCTTCCTCTTCTTCTTCTCCTCCTCCTCCTTCACCTCTTCCACTTCCTTCTTCTTTGCCTTCCTCCTCCTCTTTCTCTTTCTCCCTCCTCTTTCTTCTCTTCTTCTTCTCCTTCTTTTCCTCTTCTTGTTCTTCTCTTCCTTCTTATTCTCCTCTTTGTCTTCTTCCTCTTCTTCCTTTCTTTCCTCCTTCTCATCATTCTTTCTATTCTTCCCCTTCCTCATCTTCTCCTTCTTCTTTCTTCTCCTTCCTCTTCTTCTTCTCCTCCTCCTTCACCTCTTCCACTTCTTTCTTCTTTGCCTTCCTCCTCCTTCTTCTCTTTCTTCCTACTCTTCTTTTCCTTCTTCTCTTACTCTTCCTCTTCTCCTTCCTCCCTTTGGGTCTGCCACATCAGGACATGGGTTCCAGTGGTAGAAGGAACATTAATTTGGATTGCAGACCTTGCCATATACTGTATATACTCAAGTATAAGCCTAGTTTTTCAACCCTCCTTGGCCACACTCTGATGTTCTTTGGCAAGGCTATGAGTTATGGCATATTGGAAGGTATGTCTCGAACATGACTTCCCAGGCAATGAGATTATATAAATCTTCATCTTTCTTTTGGTTTTGTTCCTTCCTTAAGTCCTTTTCTGCAGCCGGAGCCTCCCGGTGCCGAGAGTGACGTTCCAAGCGAATGCTCCACCGACCGACCCGGCATCAGAGGCTTCTAGCTTTTGCAACAGAAACACCAAGCCTTTGGAAGGTGACTCTTTCATGCAGGGCTTCCCAAAACAAGAATTGTTTATATATGATCTTATGCTTTATATATATATCGTGTCAGGGCAGCCAGTCAATTATATTACATTTCTAACAGAGCAAAGCAAACAAACAAACAGACAAAATACAAAATTTGTGAGTTTGGTAGTTGGTTAAATGTCCTTTGACCAGTCTCTGGCCCCTTGGAGTGCCTCTGGTGTTGCCGCAAGAAGGTTCTCCCTTGTGCATGTGGCAGGGCTCAGGTTGCATTGCAGCAGGTGGTCAGTGGTTTGTTCTTCTCCACACTCGCATGTCGAGGATTCCACTTTGTGGCCCCATTTCTTGAGGTTGGCTCTGCATCTCGTGGTGCCAGAGCGCAGTCTGTTCAGTGCCTTCCACGTCGCCCAGTCTTCTTCTGTGTGCCCAGGGGGGATTCTCTCATTCGGTATCAGCCATTGGTTGAGGTTCTGGGTTTGAGCCTGCCACATTTGGACTCTTGCTTACTGAGGTGTTCCAGCGAGTGTCTCTGTAGATCTTAGAAAACTATGTCTGGATTTAAGTCGTTGACGTTCTGGCTGATACCCAAACAGGGGATGAGCTGGAGATGTCTCTGCCTTGGTACTTTCACTATTGGCTGCTACTTCCCGGCGGATGCCAGGTGGTGCAATACTGGCTAAGCAGTGTAGTTTCTCCAGTGGTGTAGGGCACAAACACCCCGTGATAATGTGGCATGTCTCAATAAGAGCCACATCCACTGTTTTAGCGTGGTGAGATGTGTTCCACACTGGGCATGCATACTCAGGAGCAGAGTAGCATTACGCAAGGGCAGATGTCTTCACTGTGTCTGGTTGTGATCCCCAGGTTGTGCCAGTCAGCTTTCGTATGATATTGTTTCTAGCACCCACTTTTTGCTTGATGTTCAGGCAGTGCTTCTTGTAGGTCAGAGCACGGTCCAGAGTGACTCCCAGGTACTTGGGTGCGCTGCAATGCTCCAGTGGAATTCCTTCCCACGAAATGATCCTCAGAGCTCGGGATGCTTGTCTGTTCTTAAGGTGAAAGGCACATGTCTGTGTTTTAGATGGATTAGGGATCAGCTGGTTTTCCCTGTAATAGGCAGTAAGAGCACCTAGAGCTTCGGAGAGCTTCTGTTCAACCATCTCAAAGCTCCCTGCTTGAGCGGTGATGGCACGATCATCAGCATAGATGAAACCCTCTGTCCCTTCTGGCAGTGGCTGGTCATTTGTGTAGATGTTGAACATGGATGGAGCAAGCACGCTCCCCTGAGGCAGGCTGTTCTTCTGTTTCCGCCATCTGTTTCTCTGGCCCTGGAACTCAACAAAAAAGCTCCTGTTTTGTAGCAGGTTTCCTATGAGGCGGATTAGATGGTAGTCCTTTGTGATACTATACATTTTTCTCAGGGGGAGGCGGTGGTGGTTCACAGTCTCATAAGCTGCTGGCAGGTCTATGAAGACAGCTCCTGGGATCTGCTGCCTTTCAAAGCCATCTTCTATGTGCGGAGTCAGGTTCAGCACTTGCGATGTGCAGCTTTTGCCTTTCCTGAAGCCAGCTTGCTGTGGGATCGGACAGGGGTCTATTTTTTACGTAATTCTATGCAAAATAAGTCTCTCCAGAACTTATATATATATATACCGCAACTTGAGGCAACTCAAGGTGGTTCACAGTTGGCAGCAATTCGATGCCATAACAATTATCAAAATACAGTTAAAACAATTATAAGAAACAATTCCATATTTAAAATGTAATATAAAAGAAGCAATAATGACCATAAGAACAAATCCTCAGCGTCTTCTTACTAAAGTCGTTGTCCAATCGTTGATTGTTCCATATATTTGTTTTCGTCTAATTATGCTCCAGTTAAAAAAAGCTTGTTCGAAGAGCCAGGTCTTAAACATTTTGCGGAATGTTAGAAGGGAGAGAGTCGATCTTATATCCCTGGGGAGGGCGTTCCATAGCCGAGGGGCCACGACTGAGAAGGCCCTGTCTCTCATCCCCACCAAACGTATCTGCGAGGAAGGCGGGATCGAGAGCAGGGCCTCCCCTGATGGTTTTAAAGTCCTAGATGGTTCATAAGGAGAGATACGTTTGGATAGGTATGCCAGACTGGAACCGTTTAGGGCAGCATTTCTCAACCTGGGGGTCGGGACCCCTGGGGGGGGGTCACGAGGGGGTCTCAGAGGGGTCAACAAAGACCATTAGAAAACACAGTATTTTTATTTATTCTGTTGGTCATGGAGGTTCTTTGTGGAAAGTTTGTCCCAATTCTATCATTGGTGAGGTTCAGGTGAACTACAAATTCCAGCAACTGCAACTCCTAAATGTCAAGGTCTATTTTCCCCAAACTCTTACCAGTGTTCACGTTTGGGCATATTGAGTATTTGTGCCAAGTGTGGTCCAGATCCATCCTTGCTTGAGTCCACAGTGCTCTCTGGATGTAGGTGAACTACAACTGCCAAACTCAAAGCTAATGCCCACCAAAGCATTCCAGTATTTTCTCTTGCTCATAGAAGTTCTGTGGTCCATCATTGGTCAAGTTCAGAATGCTCTTTGATTGTAGGTGAACTATAAATCCCAGCAACTACAACTCCCAAATGGCAAATTTAATCCCCCAAGTATTCAAATTTGGGCAAATCAGGTATTTGTGCCAAATTTTGTCTAGTGAATGAAAATCTATCCTGCATGTCAGATATTTACATGATGATTCATAACAGTAGCAAAATTCCAGTTATGAAGTAGCAATGAAAATAATGTTATGGTTGGGGGTCACCACCACATGAGGAACTCTATTAAGGGGTCGCGGTACTTGGAAGGTTGAGAACCACTGGTTTAGGGCTTTATAGGCTAAATCCAGCACTTTGAATTGTGCCCAGTAGCAGACTGGCAGCCAGTGGAGCTGGGGCAACAGAGGAATTGTGCACTCCCTGAGTGTCGCTCCCATTAGCAATCTGGCTGCTGTTCGTTATTATTATTATTATTATTATTATACTTTATTTGTCCCCCGCTAGCATCTCCCGAAGGACTCGATGCGGCTTACAAAGGCCAAGGCCTCAACACACAATACAACAATACAAACCTAAAGCAAATTAAAAACAGTTAAGCAAACTAAACAACAAGTAATAAACAATACACTAAGACGCAATAAAACTGGGCCGGGCCAGCGTACTGGGTACAAGAATTTAAAAGTGCTGGCGTGACAGGTGGGCTGCAAGGCTACTAGTGCAGTGTGCAGTGTGCGACAATCTTAATTTAATAAAGTGCTTCTGGGACTTGGTCTTGGAGGTTCCTAATCTGGGAAGGCACATCGGAACAGCCAGGTCTTCAAGTTCTTTCTGAAGACTGCCAATGAAGGGGCCTGTCTAAGATCTTTGGGGAGGGAGAGACCCAGAAAGCCATCCAGCCATAGATATAGATAGTAGGGCTGGGCGGTTTCGTTTCGTTAATTCGTAATTCGTTAATAATTCGTTAATTTTTTCAATTACAAAACGATAACGAACCATTCTGGAGCAATTATTAAAAAAAAACGAATTTTCAAAAACGTTTTGTAAATGCTTCGTATTTCGATATTGTATTCGTTTCGTTATTGTTTTGAAGTCGTTTCGTTATTATTTCCGCATGTCTGGGCCAGTTTTATGGTTTAATTAGTGAAAAAAAATTATAATATCACACCAACAGTCAACAACAGAGGGAGAGGGAAGCTTCAGAAGGTTTTGGAGGTTTTTTAGCGTACTTCGCGGTCGCGTCCGCCATTAACGAATCGATTCATTATTGTTTCGGAAATCGATTCGTTAATTTTTTACCATTTACGAAATTTCGTAAATATCGAACTTTTTAAAAGGAAAATTTTGTAATTATTTTAAATATTGAAACAAAAAAAACTCCCAAATACAAATCGATTTTAGAAACAAATTTTTCCGTTGTTACCCAGGCCTATAGATATTCAACTCTACTACTCCTTTCCACCCAATTCCAAGGAGGCCTCTCGGGTGCTAGACGAGTGCTTGGCCGCTGTGTCGATCTGGATGAGGACGAACAAGCTGAAGATCAATCCCGACAAGACAGAGGTCCTCCTGGTCGATCGTAAACCAGACTGGGGTATAGGGTGGCAACCTGTGCTGGACGGGGTTACACTCCCCCTGAAGCCACAGGTCCGCAGCTTGGGAGTCCTCTTGGATTCATCGCTGACGCTTGAGGCTCAGGCTTCGGCGGTGTCCGGGAGGGCCTTTGCACAACTGAGACTTGTGCGCCAGCTGCGCCCGTGCCTCGCTAAGGCTGATCTGGCCGGGGTGGTCCATGCCTTAGTCACCTCTAGACTGGATTACTGCAATACGTGGGGCTGCCCTTGAAAACGGCTCGGAAATTCCAACTGGTCCAACGGGCAGTGGCCAGGATGTTAACTGGGGCCCCTTACAGAGAGAGGTCAACCCTCCTGTTTAAGGAGCTCCACTGGCTGCCATTTATTTTCCGAGCCCAATTTAAGGTGCAGGTGCTTACCTACAAAGCCCTGAACGGTTTGGGACCACCCTACCTGCGTGACCGCATCACAGTCTACGAACCCACACGCTCACTCCGGTCATCTGGAGAGGCCCTGCTCGTGATCCCGCCTGCGTCACAGGTGCGCTTGGTGGGGACGCGAGACAGGGCCTTCTCCGTGATGGCCCCCCGCCTCTGGAACACCCTCCCGAAAGATCTCAGACAAGCCCCTACACTGGTAGTTTTCAGAAAGAATTTGAAGACCTGGCTGTTCCAATGTGCCTTTTCAGATTAGGAATCCCCCAGGACCAAATCCCAGAAGCACTTTAGTTCCCAAGATCACCGCACACTGCACTTTTATTATAATCCCACACCCCTCCGACACATCAGCACTTTTAACCCTGTACCCTACTTCGGCCAACTCAGTTTTTAATAATGTCTTGTCGTGTTGCTGCTGTCATTGTTTTTGCTTGACTGTTTTATTTGCTATGTATTGTATTGTTGTATTGTTTTTGGGCTTCGGCCTGCTGTAAGCCGCATCGAATCCTTCGGGAGATGCTAGCGGGGTACAAATAAAGTTATAATAATAATAATAATAATAATATAATAATAGCCTGAGAGATAATACAGGGTTAGTCAAAATGAATAGGCCAATAAGAAAATTAATTTTAGACGAATGTATGTTTACTGTAACCAAACCAAGCTACGTAGCGACAGATAAACTATCAAAGTTTTTTTTGAGCAACACACATGTACGTTAATGCCGCTAGGCGTCGCTAGGGGTCGCTGTTTTCAAAATGGCGGAATCAAGCAAAGAGAAGGCGTTTTGTGTGATGACATTTGCTAAAACAATGTCAGTAATTACGGTCCAGCGAGAATTTCAAGGGTTAGGGTTAGGGTTAGGGTTAGGGTTAGGGATAGGGTTAGGGTTAGGGATAGGGTTAGGGTTAGGGATAGGGTTAGGGTTAGGGATAGGGTTAGGGTTAGGGTTAGGGTTAGGGTTAGGGTTAGGGATAGGGTTAGGGATAGGGTTAGGGTTAGGGTTAGGGTTAGGGTTAGGGATAGGGTTAGGGATAGGGATAGGGTTAGGGATAGGGTTAGGGTTAGGGATAGGGGTAGGGTTAGGGTTAGGGATAGGGTAAGGGGTTAGGGTAGGGTTAGGGTTAGGGTTAGGGTTAGGTTAGGGATAGGGATAGGGATAGGGTTAGGTAGGGATAGGGTTAGGGTTAGGGTTAGGGTTAGGGTTAGGGATAAGGGTTAGGGTTAGGGTTAGGGAGTTAGGGTTAGGGATAGGGTTAGGGTTAGGGATAGGGATAGGGTTAGGGTTAGGGTTAGGGTTAGGGTTAGGGTTAGGACCTCAACGAACACCTTCCCAGACGTTGCTGCATTCGATGCCATTACGTCAGATGTGCTGCAACGGATGTGGAATGAACTGGACTATCGCTTGGACATCTGCCGTGTCACACGGGGTGCCCATATCGAACATCTCTGAAGGTGAGACAAAACTTTGATAGTTTATCTGTCGCTACGTAGCTGTGGTTTGGTTACAGTAAACATACATTCGTCTAAAATTAATTTAGATATGATTCACACACATACACAGATATAGTATCATAGATTTGAAAGGGACCCCTAAAGAAGGACAATTAGATGTTGCATGTTCCAGAGTAGGCAAACCAGACAATCTCTACATCAACACTGACAAAGAAACAGCAAAAAATACTGTTTACCCACAAGCATAAAGACATTACATATATTAGAAACCAGCACTTTCTAATTACTTTATTTTCCATATCACCAGACTGGGCCACAGCAACGCATGCACGCATGGCGGGGGACTGCTAGTAGGAAATATTTATTTATTTATTTATTTATTTATTTATTTATTTATTAATGCGCTTGTATACCGCTAATATCTCAGCCTAAATCGGCGACTCATTGCGGTTTACAACAGTTAAAAAACAATATTCAATTTAAAAGCATAAAACACATATACAATACAAGTTATTGGGCCACCAATAACAATCCCATGCATCTCGTAACTGAAATCGCAATCCAAAATTCGTCGTCCATGATTACCCATCCTTTAGTCATCAAAATTCGTTGCAACGGATTAACCGAATGCTTGTTTAAACATCCATGTCTTCAATCTTTTCCGAAACACCATCAGCGAAGGGGCTGATCGTACCTCTATGGGGAGGGTGTTCCAAAGCCGAGGGGCCACCACAGAAAAGGCCCTGTCTCTCGTTCCCACCAGCCGCACTTGTAGGAAAGAAAATATAGGAAAGAATAGGAGCAAGCCCAAAGACCATCCAGGCTAATGCCCTTTTGCTTTGATGCAGGGAAAAAGAGAGAGAGACAGGAAAGCAAATGCAACATCTAACACTTATGTTGTTGTTTATTAATGACTAGACCAGTGATGGGCAACCTTTTGAGCGTGGTGTGTCAAAATTTGCCAAAAAACTGAGCATAATTCAGGTGGTGTGTCACTTCAAGAAAAAAACCCATAATTTCGCAATATTTAGTTTAAATAACAAAAAAATATATAATTGAAATTCCCACTTTCCCTCTTATCATGTTGTTCTACCTCTCTTTATGTAAATAATATCCTTTTTGGAGTGTTTAATGAAAATACAATTTTAAAAACACAACAAAATATTATTTATTTTTAATTTAATTTAAATGTATTTCTAGCATTTAATATGCTACTTAATGTATTTCTAATAATAATAATAATAATAATAATAATAATAATGCAATAACAATACAGTAACATTGCAAAATAATATTTTGATACTTAATTTACCATTTCATTTAAGGCATATTAGCATATATTAAAAATATTTAAAATGCACTAAATTAAAATGCATTAAATTAAATGTCAAATTAAAATTCAATTTACCATTTCATTTAAGGCATTCTGAAATATTTGAGCAATATAGCAAAGTAGTATTAATCATTTAATTTAATTTAAATATGTAACTCCTTAATATTTAGGAAACATTGCAAAATAATATTTGTTTCCTTAATAATTAAATAAACCAATATTATTTTGCAATGTTACCTAAATATTAATAATAATTAAATATTTTTAAATTTGACATTTAATTTAATGCATTTTAATATTTGAATAATATAGCAAAGTAATAGTATTTATCATTCCGTTTAAATATGAAACTCCTTAATATTTAGGTAACATTGCAAAATAATAATTTCTTTCCTATTTATTTTTTAAAATGGCATAAAATAAATAAACAAATAATATCCGGCGGGCGCGTGTCAGTAGAAATGGCTACGCGTGTCAGTACTGACACGCGTGTCATAGGTTCGACATCATGGGACTAGACCGTAGGGAACGTGTATACAAACAAATATAAATACAATATAAAAGAGAAGCAATATAATAATAGTAATAATTAATAATACAAAATTAAAATTTAGATTAGATAAAATATTAGATAAAATGTAATTAGCTAGGAGCATTATTATTATTATTAATAATAATAATAATAATATCCCGCTTTTTCTGTCTGCATGGAGACTCAAAGCGGCTATGTATCCATTATTTTTGTTGTTGTTGTTGTTGTTGTTGTTGTTGTTGTTGTGTGTATTCATTCCCTACTTTTTGTCTACACAAGGAGACTCAAAGCAGCATCCCTATAGTAATCAAGTCTACAATCAATTTAGTGCCATGTTTTCATAGCTTTTCAAGGCAGCGCTCTTGCCCTGAGATTCATCCCCTCACGAAACGAAGAACTGGTCCGAATTTGCCTTCTGAAAGCCTTCCCATTGTCTCTATGCAGGTCCCTTGGAGGCTGGACCATGTATCCCAGAAGTGGAAATGATGCCCGGCGTGGGGGATCCGGGGGGCTTTGGGCTTCCAGTCTGTGCGGCCGAGAGGCGGTCCTGCTGGCCACACGTCCCTGTCGAATGCACCGAGACTGACCTGCAGAGGTTCTCCGTCCTGGACGAGATGGAGGCATCGCCCGCTCTATCCTTCCGGGATCCCGTCCCTGAAAGCGGGGAGCTGGCGGTAAGTTGCTTTTGGGTCACTAGCCTCAGATCGCATAGAAATCCAAAAGATGGAAGGGGACCCCAAAGGTCATCCAGCCCTCCCTCCCAACCGATGACCTCCCAGCCTCTGCTTGAAAACCCTCCAGAGAAATAAAAAGCACTCCACTGGACTTCCAGGGAGATTATATATCATTAGAGTCCAAAAAGGAACCCTGGAGGCCATCTAGTCAGGAGGACACAATCAAATCCCTCCTGACGATGGTCACCCAACCTCTGCTTGAAAACCCTCCAGAGAAATAAAGGACATCGAAATAGAATCCAAAGCTCACCAGCCTCCACTTGAAAGCCTTCAGAGAAGTAGAGGAGACTCCACTGGACTTCAAGGCGGTATATATACCACTAGAATCCATAGGGAACCCCAGAGGTCAACTAGCCAGGAGGACACAATCAAATCCCTCCTGACAGATGGTCATCCAACCTCTGCTTGAAAACCCTCCAGAGAAATAAAGGACATCGAAGCAGAAGTCAAAGATCACCCAGCCTCCACTTGAAAGCTTCCAGAGAAGTAGACTCCACTGGATTTCAAGGGAGACTATATTATACTAGAGTCCAAAGGGAACCCCAGAGGTCATCCCGTCCAACCTTCTTCTGCCGTGAAGGACATAGTCAAAGCCCTCCTGACAAATGATCGTCCAGCTTCTGCCTGAAACCCTCCAGAAAAATCAAGGCAACTCCACTGGACTTCAAGTCAGACTATATTGCACTAGGGTCCAAAGGGAACCGCAAAGACCATCCAGCCCAACCTTCTTCCACCATGACACAGAAATAAAGGAGATCCCACTGCAAGGTAGCCTATAGTAGTCTATTATAAAGTCCAAAGAGGACCCCAGAGGTCATCCAGCTTTCCCTCCCGATAGATGGCCATCCAGCCTCTGCTTAAGGCAGAGTGTTGTTGTTGTTGTTGTTGTTGTTGTTGTTGTTCTCCTCCTCCTCCTCCTAGACCTTCTTCACCTTCTCCTTCTTCTTCTGAGATGCAACAAATGTGGAGGGCTTCCTCTCTCTTCATCCTTTTCTCTTTCCTGATCCTTTAAATGCAGTGACAACCTTAAATCCATAACTCTCCCTTTTCCTTTGCCTAGATCTCCACATCGCCGCTTTGCAAACACATCAGACGGTAGAAGACGGCGGTTGCAGAGCTGCGTCTCGACTCGATGTCTCTCCTGCCATCAAGATGCCTTTTGGAAATAATACACAAGCATTATTTCCTTCTTAAGGAAAGAAAAACCCAGGGATTATTTTGAATGCCATCGATATCCAGATTTATTTCTGCCTCATTTCGGGGATGAAGATCTTGCACGCTCCAGCTCTCCGTTGTCTTGCTGCTGGGATGCAATTGATCTACCCAATGATCTTGAACCTTGTATTGATTTATTTGTTCCCTACTTTTGCTGAGGGTTCAAATGTCTGGTTTGCATCTGTTTCCCATTGTTGCAACCAAGTTGAATGGCTTGCAGTGGGTCTCTAATCTGTCTACATGAGATCTATTTTGTGCTGTTTTCGTTCCTGGATTAATCTTGATGCTGTTTTTGGAAACAGATGGAAGACAATTGCATTTTGCACCAGCTTTCCATTGTCATCAGAAAGCAAGAGCAAATACTGAATCATAGAAATTGATCTGTCTTCCTCAAAAATACACCTTACCAATGGATGTGTTTTCATAGATCAACCTTGAACTGAACTGGTTTTCAAGCAGACAAATGGATTTCAGGTTGATTTGTTTCTACATATTTTTCCAGCCCTTCTGTCATCCTATGGAAAAATTTCCAGGTTTAGGAAAAGAAGGTCTATCTCTTTCAAAATAAACTTTTCCTCCATTTGAGGAAAGTATGATCAACTTTTTGGAACACTTTAAAGGGAATTTTTATCGTATTAATAATACTTTTGACATTGATAAGTGTTTGTTTACAAGTGTGACTTTGATCTCTTGCTTTTGACATTTGGGGACTTGAATGGGGAGAAAGCACTGCTGTATTTTGCCATTTTTCTGCTTATGTAGATTGAGTTGATTTTACTGAGGAATGTGATTTTTTAAAAAATAATTGCTCAAAGGTTAGGAGAGAAAGGATTTGCAGAGTTGCAAGAAGCTGGAAAAGTTGCTGCAAAGATTTGCAAACTTGCAAGAAGTTGGAGAAGTTGCTGCAAAGATTTGCAAACTTGCAAGAAGTTGGAGAAGTTGCTGCAAAGATTTGCAGAGTTGCAAAAATTTGGAGAAGTTACTACAAAGATTTGCAAATTTGCAAGAAGTTGGAAAAGTTGCTGCAAAGATTTGCAGAATTGCAAAAAGTTGGAGAAGTTACTACAAAGATTTGCAAATTTGCAATAAGTTGGAAAAGTTGCTGCAAAGATTTGCAGAGTTGCAAGAAGTTGGAAAAGTTGCTGCAACGAGTTGCGGAGTTGCAAAAAGTTGACTAAAATGGCTCAAATTAGAAAAGATGTCTAAAAAAGTCTTGCAAGGGTGTTTCCTTTAGTAAAAAATTGAGGCAGTGCAGATGTGACTTCCCCTCCCCCCAAAAGTCATGTCAGCTACAAATGCTGTGCAAATGGTCCTAAATGCTGGCTTTCCTATCCATCTCAATAGTTGCAGTGGCTTCCTATGTCCCTACCCACAGAGTTGGAATATCTGTGCATTTATGTATATATCCATGGCTCCATTCTCTCTTTAATTTGAATGTGAGCGCTGCTTTGTCCTCCCTGTTTCCTGTGCAAGCCATGACTTCATCCCTCCCTTTTCCGGGGTTCCTCTTTGCATGGATTGAAGCCTCCCTCTTTGCACAATGCTATGAATGGCTCCTATTGCAGCATCCATTGAGTCCCAGACTTAAGCGTGGCTTCAGTGCCGAGACACAAAAGGCTTCCGGCTTTAGCTTTTGGGCCTCATTTGCATCTTCCATTGAGAGAAATATAAACCCCCGTTACACATTTCGTCCGGGTTTTTTAAATTGAATTTTCCTTGCAAGTAAAGAAGTGTGGTCAACTATTGCTTTACCCCAATATATTTATCACAAATTTGCATCAAGAGGGTTTATCGTTCATTGGGAAATATAAACCCTTTTGCACATTTTGTCTGGTTATTTCTAATTGAATTTTCCTTGCAAGCAAAGAAGTGTGCCAATATATATATATTCCTTCATAGGCTTATATGTATGTGTGTGTGTGTGTGTGTGTGTGTGTGTATATATATACACACACATACATACACACATACACATATGTGTGTATATATACACACACACATATAGACATGTGTGTGTGTGTGTATGTATGTATATGTGTGTGTGTGTATATATATATATATATATCGCCTATGAAATAAATCTATGATATGGGAATCTCATGGGTGTTGTAGTGAATCATAGAATTAGGCTGAACCTACACTGCCCTATATCCGAGGATCTGACCCCAGATGATCTGGGGTCAGGTCATCTGGGGATTCTATGAGTCTACACTGCCATCTACTGGATTCTATGAGTCTACACTGCCATGTAATCCAATTCAAAGAAGATAATCTGGATTTTCTATGGTGGTGTTGAAGGGGGCCTCATCTAATCCAGTTCGAAGTAGATAAATCTGGATTGTCTGCTTTATTATCACTTGGGTTATATGGCAGGGTCGAAAGGGCCACGGTTCCCATTGTGATGAAGATCTTTTTGTTGCTTGGAGTCAACTTCTCTTGGTTTGCAAACTGATGAATTCAATGCACTGGCAACTTGATCTCCAACTGTCCCTAGGGCACTGAACGCGGCTTTTCTGTTTTTTTTTTTTAAATGAGGTTTAATATGCTTTTTCTAGCTTTTTGATCATAAACAAATAAGACGCATTAACTCTCCCAAGGTGCTGAAACTCTTCCAAGTTTAGGGACCAGCACCTTGGAGAGCTCCCCCCTTCCCTTGAAGGAACAGGAAGGCCTTGCGTTTTCTCAATGATTTCGAATTCAGTTGCAATCAAATTGGATAGTCTTTCTTTGCAGCCTCATCAAAGCAGAACTTTGCATTTGGTCAGCGTTTAGGAGAAGGTCCATTTTGGCGTCACTGAACTCGGTGGTTTCTCTTTTATTTCAAACTGTGATCCCTTTCATAGGATGCGGTTGCAGATTTGCTGCTCTCTAAGGCTTCCTTTCTCGAGCTGTGAACGAAAACCCTGTGTATCAAAGCCTAGCAACCTGAATGACTGTGAAATGGCAAAATACACACGTACATATATACACACACATACAGACATATACATACACACCCACATATATAAAATATACATTCATCTATACACACATAGACATATATACATACATATGTACACATTTATACATACACATGCAGACACACATAATTATATACACAGACATAAATGCATACACATATGTACATACACATACATACACACAGATATAAATATATATACATTCAACTACACACACATATACATACATATGTACACATTCATACATACACATGCAGACACACATATACACAGACATAAATGCATGCACATATGTACATACACATATATACCCACAAGTATAAATATATAAACTGCATATACGCACATACACATACATATGTACACATTCATACATACATATGCAGACATACATATATACACATATAATTATATACACATACATAAATGCATACACATTCATACACATATATACCCACAGATATACGTATGTACATATACAAACACATTCATGTATACACACACACACATATATATATATATATATATATATATATATATATACTTACATGGACACATACCTATGTACATATACATGCACATATGCTTGTATACACATACATGTATCCACACAAACATATAAACATACCTACATATATACATACACACATATATACACACAATCATACATATATACACATACATACATGTGCATGCATATGCATACGTGTATACACACATACATATATGCACATATATACACATCATACATACATATATGCACATACACACACACACACATAAATGCATGTTCTACATCAGTCCCATTTGGACTGAGCATTTGGAAGGGATCCCTGAACTGACTTTCCTATTAATCTATGCAGCCCAGGCATGCATATATTTATTCTTTTTGGCAGAAGGCTGAGAAAGGCTTTTTAGAAACAGCCTTGATGTTTACAATGGACTCGCAACCATTTCCTCCTCGAGCTACAACACTTTGCAACGTATCTGCATTAACTTTTGCTGACAGTTTTTCTGGCCAGTCTCTTGGAGAAAGGATTGTGTCGGATCTTCTTCCCGGAAAGGGCTGCGCTTCTGGCCTTTCACCAAGTCGGGATTGCTCTTCTGGTTGTTTTTAATGATCTCCTGTGTTTTGTTTGGTTTCTTGGGTCTTGGGCATTGATTTCCCAGGGGAAAAAAGATGCCAGGTTTAATTTGCAAACTTTCCATGTGTGTTGAATGTATTTTTATTTCGTGAGTCCAATAATATTATTTCTACTTGACTTTTGTATTTGCATTTCATTGGAAGGAATAAAACATTTTGTATTAAAACGCATCCCGTTTCCTATCTCCATGGTCTTAAAATATTTGGAAATATCCCCAGGACAAGGTTTGTTTGCCTTTTTATACACATTTTACCATCATCATCAACATCATTGTTAGATTATTGTTATTATATTTGTTATTATTATATTTGTTATAGTTATTTATTGTTATATTTATTATGTGATATCATGATTATTTATTTATAATATATTATTATATTTATTATATGATTTTTGTAATATATTTACTATTTTTAATATATTTATGTATTGCTATATTTATTTTAATATATTATTTATTTATTTATTTTAATATATTCATTATTATATTAATCATATATTTTATAATATATTTTTATTACTTTTAATATAGCTATGTATTGCTATATTTATTATTTATTCATTTTAATATATTTATTTTTATATTTATTATACATTTTAATAATATATTTATTATTACTATTAATATATCTATGTCTTGCTATATTAATTTATTTATTTTAATATATTCATTATTATAGTAATCATATATTTTATAATATATTTTTATTACTTTTAATATATTTATGCGTCGCTATATTTATTTATTTTAATATATTATTATATTTATTATATTTTTATTACTCTTAATATATTTATGCATTGCTACATTTATTTATTTTAATATATTATTATATTTATTATGTTATATTTTAATATATTTATGCATTGCTATATTTGTTTTAATATATTATTATATTGATTATATTTTTATTTTAATATATTTATGTATTGTCATATTTATTATTTGTTTGTTTTAATATATTTATTATTATATGTATTATAGTATATATTTTTATAATATATTTTATTACTTTTCATATATTTTTGCATTGCTATATTTATTATTTAAAAATATATTATTTTATATATTTACGTAGTGCTGTATTTATTATTATATCTATTATTTTAATATTATTATTATATCTATTATTTTAATATAATAATATATTTATTATTATATTTATTTTTAATATACTTATTATTATATCTATTATTTTAATATATTTATTATTTTAATATATTTATTATTTTAATATACTTATTATTATATCTATTATTTTAATATATTTATAATAATAAGCTATTATTTATTATTTTAATATATTTATTATTTTAATATATTTATTATTATATCTATTATTTTAATATACTTATTATATCTATTATTTTAATATATCTATTATTTTAATATATTTATTATTATAGCTATTATTTATTATTTTAATATATTTATTATTATATCTATTATTTTAATATACTTATTATTATATTTATTTTTAATATACTTATTATTATATCTATTATTTTAATATATTTATTATTATAGCTATTATTTATTATTTTAATATATTTATTATTTTAATATATTTATTATTATATTTATTTATTTCAATATACTTATTATTATATTTATTTATTTTAATATACTTATTATTATATTTATTTATTATTTTAATATATTTATTACACTTATATCTATTCTGTTCTACCATCTCAAAGCTCCCTGCTTGAGCGGTGATGGCACGATCATCAGCATAGATGAAGCTCATAGAGATAGATCCCAAAGCCCTTGGGTGTCCCTGTCCCCTCCCTCTTACGTCATCGCCATCGCGGCATGCGATAGGTCCGTGGGCGGGGTTTCAAAAGGTAGACTCAGCCAATCACCGCGGACGCTCACCAGGAAAGACACGCCCCCCTCCTCCGGGGTTTCTTTCCCGGTTGCCAAGGCGACGGAGAAGGCGGGGTTTGTGGCTAGCGTCATCACGCCGCGCGGCGTGAGCGGTGACGTCACCCCTTGCGTCCACGTCGCCTCCAAGATGGCGGCGGCCGAGGAAACGTCGCCTGGAGCCGAAGCAGGCCCCAAGCAGGCCCCGATGGTGGTGAGCCCCGCCCAGGACACTATTAGATCCCATTATTATTATTATATTGTGATCATAATTATGACAATAATACTGTGCTTGCTGTGAGTTTTCTTGGCTGTGTGGCCAATATGTTCCAGAAGCATTCTCTCCTGACGTTTCGCCCACATCTCTGGCAGGGATGCTCAGAGGTTGTCAGGTCTGTTGGAACTAGGAAAAAGGGGTTTATATCCCTGTGGAATGATGTGGGAGAAAGGAAGAACTCTTTATCTGTTTGAAGCAAGTGTGGATGTTGCAATTAACCTCCTTGGTTAGCACTGAATGGCCTTGCAGCTTCAAAGCCTGGCTGGTTGCTGCCTGGAGGCATCCTTTGTCGGGAGGTGTTAGCTGGCCCTGATTGCAGCTTCAAAGCCTGGCTGGTTGCTGCCTGGAGGCATCCTTTGTCGGGAGGTGTTAGCTGGCCCTGATTGTCTCCTGTCTGGAATTCCCCTGTTTTCTGAGTGTTGTTCTTTATTTACTGTCCTGATTTTAGAGTGTTCTTAATACTAGTAGACACATTTTTGTTGAATTTCATGGTTTCCTCCTTTCTGTTGCAATTGTCCACATGCTTGTGGTTTTCAGTGGCTTCTCTGACTCGGTGGTTGCAGACATGAGTTCTTTATGCCACCCTGGACATCATTCCAATTGCCTCGTTCCCAACAGACCCCTCAACCTCTGAGCATGCCTGCCATAGGTGTGGGCGAAATGTTAGGAGAGAATGCTTCTGGAACATGGCCAGGCAGCCCGAAAAACTCACAGCAGCACAGTGATTCCAGCCATCAAATCCTTCAACAACACATAATAATAATAATAATAATAATAATAATAATAATAATAATAAATTATATAATATTATAATTGCATTACATTCTTATATTACTAGATATATTATTAATTTATTATATGATATTACATTTTATGTTTATTATGTATTTTATATCTGTTAGTATATTGTAATATAGTGGTATTATGATATATTATTATATTTATTATTATATATATTGTCGATCCAGCCATAGACTCAACTCATCCAGGTCAAAGCAGATAATCTCAATGCAAAAACCTGGATTATATGGCAGTGTATACACATCTCACCCAGTTCAAAGAAGAATGTGGATTATTTTCTTTGGTCATCTGGATTATATGGCAGTGTAGAAGGGGCCTCAGGAGCAAAGAGCTGTTATTGGTTTCTTGCCTGGCAGATGTAGAGCTGCCTCAGTCCATAGTTGTTGGGTGCCTTGCTTTAAAGCTGGTTGAAAATGCTCAGTTTGCAGGCCTGGCGGACGTCTCGATCTCAGAGGACATCCCCGTGGAGGGAGAGATCACGGTCCCGGTGGGCGCCCGCTCTCCCGAGGAAGACCCCTCCACGCTGGACGAGCCTGTCAAGGACACCATTGTGAGTGGAAGGGGGCGTGTGTGGACTTTAGAGGGGAGTCAAGGCCATAACACGGTTTCTTCAGGCGAGCACCCGTTTCTGTGTTGTTAATTGGCATGAGCTGGAAAAAGCTGCATTTCAATAAATTTATTTGTTTGTTTTTAAACTTGATTTATTCCCCACAAGAACTCAAGGCAGCTAACAATCCCACACCTTGGTCGTAGTTTAAAACAGGGGTCCACAAACGTTTTAAACAGAGGGCCAGAACACAGTCCCTCAAACAGTTGGAGGGCGAGATTATAATTTGAAAAAAAAAAAATCATGAATTCCTATGCACTTCACATATCTTATTTGTAGTGCAAAATAACTTTAAAATAATACAATAATTAAAATGAAAAACAATTTTAACAAATATAAACTTATTCGTATTTCAATGGGAAGTGTGGGCCTGCTTTTGGCTGATGAGATAGGATTGTTGTTGTTGTGTGTGCTTTCAAGTCGTTTCAGACTTAGGTTGACCCTGAGCAAGGGCCGGGTAAATGACCTTGGAGGGCCGCATCCGGCCCCCGGGCCTTAGTTTGAGGATCCCTGGTTTAAAACAAAGAGCGGTACAAAAGTTAAACAAACTATTAAATAACACACTACAATTAAGGTAAAAACACATTAAAATATAATAAATAGTCTTTCCCAGCAGCATGCCCCATATTTTTCCCCGAATGCACACAGAAGAAGGTCCCAGATGTCTTCATGAACAAGATGGCAGCTCTGAGGAGCTTTGAAGCTCTTGTCTAGGAATTTGAAGTGCTGTCGACCTTTTGCAAGTTTTGGTTGCAATCAGATTTGCATTGAGGGAGGTTGAATCCATTTGGCTGTTTCTTTTTCACTGGGAGAAAAACTGGAACCCTCTCGGTCAGTTCCTCGCTTGCTGTTGTGTGACTATAAGCCAGTTTTTGCACTTTATTAATGATCTAGGATTGTCTGCACTTCCCATCCCTCTCCAAAAACTATCCTAGTCATATTTCACCTGTTCATGCTCAGCATTATCTTTAGAATTTTAATTATTACATTTGGCCCAGCCATAGGTTTTTTAAACGTCGTTGTGTTATTGTTAATGTTCATTGCTTATTTTTTGTTATGAGTTTTATTTTATTGCTTGTATTATTATTATTGTTTGTATTACTGATGTATTGTGGGCTTGGCCTCATGTAAGCCGCACCGAGTCCCCGAGTAGCGGGGTATAAATAAAGATGATGATGATGATGATGATGATGATGATGATGATTGACTTGTGGTGACCCTAAGGCAGGATATATTTAGAGGGGTTTTGCTTTTGCCTTCCTCTCTCTCTCTCCCTTTCACTCTATCTACCAACATTGATCTCTGTCAACCTATCTGTCTGTCAACCTACCTATTTTTATCTCTATCTACCTACCTACCCTTATCTTTTATCTATTTATCTACCTACTTTTATCTCTGTCTATCTATCTATCTATCTATCTATCTATCTATCTATCTATCTATCTATCTATCTATCTATCTATCTATCTCCCTATCTCCCTACCTCTATCTTTATCTCCCTACCTTTATCTCTATCCATCTACTTTTATCTTTATCTATCTATTTATCTACTTACTTCCCTACCTTTATCTCTATATTTCTGTCTTTCTACCTACCTTTAACTCTATTTCCTTACCTTTATTTATTATTTATTTGATGCATTTATTAACCGCCATTCTCAGCCCCTTAGGGCGACTCATGGCGGTGTACACACATATAAAAACAATTTACAAAAAGGCAATATCAACAGCATATAAACTACATAACAATTACAAAAACTACACTAAAAATCCGCTTCGTCTCATAGTGGAATCATAACCCATCTCATATTCCTTATTCCATTCCGATCATCTTTACCGTATTAATAGAGCACTTAATTGAATGCCTTCTCGAACAGCCATGTCTTAAGGCTTTTTCGGAAGGACATGAGGGAGGGCGCCTGTCTGATGTCTGCAGGGAGAGTGTTCCACAGCCGGGGGGCCACCACCGAGAAGGCCCTCTCCCTCGTCCCCGCCAGTCGTGCCTGTGAGGCAGGCGGGATCGAGAGAAGGGCCTCCCCAGACGATCTCAAGGTCCTCGTGGGCTCATAGGCCAAGATGCGGTCCGAAAGGTATTTTGGGCCGGAACCGTTTAGGGCTTTGTAGGCCAAAACCAGCACCTTAAATTGGGCCCGGTAGCAAATCGGCAGCCAATGGAGCTGGGACAACAAGGGCGTTGTATGCACCCTGCCCCCCGCTCCAGTTAGTAACATGGCTGCCGCGCGCTGAACCAGCTGAAGCTTCCGGGCCGTCTTCAAGGGCAGCCCCACGTAGAGAGCGTTGCAGTAGTCAAGGCGGGATGTGACCAGAGCGTGTACCACCGTGGCCAAGTCAGACTTCCCGAGATACGGGCGCAGCTGGCGCACGAGCCTGAGCTGTGCAAATGCTCCCCTGGTCACCGCTGAAACCTGGGGATCCAGGCTCAACGATGAATCCAGGATCACACCCAAGCTGCGAACCTGCGCCTTCAAGGGGAGTGCGACCCCATCCAGCACAGGCTGTAACCCTATACCCTGTTCGGCCTTGCGACTGACCAGGAGTACCTCTGTCTTGTCTGGATTTAATTTCAGTTTGTTCGCCCTCATCCAGACCATTACAGCGGCCAGGCACCGGTTCAGGACCTCGACAGCCTCCTTAGTAGCAGGTGGAAAGGAGTGACAGAGTTGGACATCATCTGCGTACAGATGACACCGCACCCCGAAACTCCGGATGATCTCACCCAGCGGCTTCATGTAGATATTAAACAGCATGGGGGACAGTATGGAACCCTGTGGAACCCCACAAGTCAAAGGTTGTGGTGTAGAACAGGAGTCCCCCAATAACACCTTCTGGGTGCGTCCTCCAGAAATGACTGGAGCCACTGCAAAGCAATGCCCCCAAGGCCCATTTCCGCAAGGCGCCCCAGAAGGATACCGTGGTCGACGGTATCGAAGGCCGCTGAGAGGTCCAGGAGCACCAACAGGGACACACTCCCCCTGTCTAGCTCCCGGCGCAGATCATCCACTAAGGCGACCAAGACCGTCTCGGTACCATGTCCCGGTCTGAAACCAGACTGTGCCGGATCCAGATAATCCGTGTCTCAAGAATACCTGGAGTTGTGAGGCCACCACACGTTCCAAGACTTTGCCCAAGAAGGGGAGATTGGAAACTGGCCGATAGTTGTCGAATTTAGTGGGGTCCAGTGATGGTTTCTTCAACAGCGGTTTTATTATAGCTTGTTTTGCTCGCTGGAATCTTGCCTTCCCGAAGGGAGGCATTCACCACCACTGTTACCCACTCAGCCAAACCCCCTCTGGCCTCCCTTAGAAGCCAGGATGGGCAGGGGTCTAGGATGGACGTGGTGGGCTTCATTCCTCCAAGTATCTTGTCCACATCCTCGGGTTTCACAAACTGAAAAGAATCCATCAAAATAGGACAAGCAGGTGCTCTTGTTACATCCTCGGAGACTGCATTTAACGCGGCGTCCAGCTCAGAACGGATCAAGGCGACTTTGTCTGCAAAGAACCGAGCAAATGCTTCACAGCGCGTGACCGAATTGTCAGGGCTCCCGTCTGAGGTGGCGGGAGTTAAAAGACCTCTGACAATCCGAAACAACTCCGCCGGACGGTTCTTTGCAGACGCAATAGTGGCCGCAAAGAAAGTTTTCTTTGCGGCCTTTATTGCCGCGGCATATGCCCTAAGAAAGGACACAAACCGTGCTCGATTTGACTCGCTCGGATCCGAGCGCCACACGCTCTCTAGTTCCCTCTTCCTTCGCTTCATCACTGCCAGCTCCTCAGTAAACCAAGGGGCTGGTTTAGCTCGGCTACTTGAGAGGGGACGTTCCGGAGCAATCATGTCAATAGCCCTGGCCATCTCCCCATTCCAGAGAGCGACCAAGGCTTCGACATGATCACCTACCGAGGTGGCGGGGAAATCCCCAAGAGCCGTCAGGAATCCATTTGGATCCATAAGCCTCCTGGGGCGGACCATCTTAATGGGTCCTCCACCTTTGCAGAGGTTAGGGGGCGCAGTGAGCCTAAATCTGATCAGGAAGTGGTCAGTCCATGGCAACGGAGAGATGGACAACTCCTCCACACCGCCACCCTGCTCCCATCCCTGGCAGAAAACCAAGTCCAATGTATGTCCAGCACAGTGGGTGGGGCCAGATATTTGTTGGGACAGCCCCATGGTTGCCATGGCAGACATGAAGTCCTGAGCCGCACCTGTGAGGGCCGCCTCGGCATGGATATTGAAGTCTCCCAGCACAAGGAGCTGTTGAGACTCCAACGCCAGGCTCGAGACCACCCCCGCTAGCTCAGGTAGGGAGACTGTAGTGCAGCGAGGTGGACGGTACACTAGCAGAATCCCTATTCTGTCCCGGTCACCCACCCTCAGGTAGACGCA